GTATATATATATACTGTATATGTATATATATATACTGTATATGTATATGCAAAAATACCTACATGCATGTAGAAAAATATTGATTAACACTTGTTAAGCAATTTTTTTTTTTATTTCATTTAGTGCAAAAATTGGTCGAAGTAGGTCATAAAAAAAGCAAATATAGAAATTTGGGTGTGTTATTGTTTTTTCATTTTTTTTCATAGAAGAAAACTGTCCGAATTTACATTGCAGACTGAACTTTTGCCTGTTTTCCAGGGATAAAGAATGTGAAATGTTTTAGTGGATCCTGTTCTTTGTGTAGAGAAAATATAGATAATGATGTTTTAATTCGTTAGACTTCTTGAAACCTTTTCAACAGATGTGAAGGAAATGTAGTGGGCCCTTTCCGGAAAACATCATCTACATTCTGCATTTCTTTTAAAATCAGCTTAGCTTTCTTTCTTTAGCTGTCACTAACCATCCGCTCCTCCTCTATCCACCTTCAGGACCTTCCCCGCAAAGTGAAGCAGGTGTTGGGTCTCTGTGAGCCGTCCAGTTCAGAGGAGGCGACCCCAGACTCTCAGAGTAGCGAGACAGAACACCTCCTCTGTCAGGCGGAGGGAGGAGCTGCATCATCGCATGTTCCCACCTACCCTTAAAACTCAGTTTAGCTGCTCAAATTACTGTACGTTGATAAAAATAATGACTGTTGTTACACATTTACGGAGGTAGGGAGCGCTGTGTAACCATTATACCCAATTATGCAGTGCTTTGTTCAGTATTCTTTTTTGCCTCATGTCTCTGTTGTTCTGACTTTTCTCCATCTGATGCTGCTTATTTACTCCTTATTATACTGTTTATTTCCTTTTAATGAAGAATTATGTTTTATTTTCCCTCCATTGTATCTGAAAAGATTAGAAGAACTCAATAAACCGTGTCGGCGCTACGTGTCGCCTTTTGGCACTATGCAAAGTTTTATGCATGCCCTATAGTTTTCACTCTCTGCATAGTTTTATTTTTAAAACTTATTGTAACAAGTAATTATTGGATAATAAAATGAATGCATAATAACTCTGTTTTATCTTTATGTGTGATATTTGGAAAGTAGTGAACTGCAGCTGATGTTCACTCATTTTTACAAACATAAGGATTTATTTGAGCCATTTATCTTTAATGATGGCATATATGACATATATAACACATAACTACTTTGAAAAAATACCCTCTGCAATTAGTTTCACATGTTTTAGATTAAAACACATACAAAAATCTATTTGATTATTTCCTTCTTGGAGGAAACCATCACAAAAATCCATCCACACCAGTCAGACTCCACGTGAAAATATAAAGTCCCTTCTGTAACTTATGACTTGGCTTGCCACACCCAGACCCAGGTAATTTAGATATCTCCTTAAAAGAACATGTCTGACAACATGAAGTAGGCTAAACGATCTCAAAGCAAAACACTATATTCTAATCCTATGAAATTCAAGAAAAATACAACTTAAAACAAGTAAAATTACTTGAAACCCATGTGTTTGTGTTTCATTTAAGTAGCTAAATATAATGATCTGCCAGTAAAATGTGTATTTTGGCTCCTAGAGTAGAACCGTTTTACAGTTGGGCTTGAAAGTTTAGATACCCCACATTAAAGA